TTTTCCTGTCTACTCCACAACTATAGGGTGCCTGTGAGTGAACATAAGCAAAACAATGTTGACTCAAAGTTATATTCATACAATACTTTAAAAAAAAAGATCGGGACAGTTCATCCTCATTTCGGGACAGTTGAAATTTATTTTGGGACACGACAGTGCTGGGACAATAGTAAGAAAAGTTAATTTCGAGGCCTGGATGGTTCCATGTCCATGTTATGTATTGTCTCTAAAACTTCTGAGTCAAGAAACCTAACCACATTGACAAGACCTTCATACAAGTCTTCTCGCTAACTTGTATAAAATATTTATTAAGATATACTGGCCTGTGTATATATAAACAGAGTCTAGCAGCATAGCCCTTACACCTATTTCAATAGACTTAACCCGTACCAGTACCGCAGTATGCTATAAATCAACTACCTTATCTCATGTACCATAAACTATACAGAAAGCAATAAAAATTACAACTTTGTTATGTATAGTACAACTTATGTAACTAAATGCATTGGATTTGGAAAAGCCATTTTTGTACACAAGGCTTGTGAGGAAATGCACTGTATTACCCCTGTAACTATGGTTTTTGATAATTGAAAAAAAATGTATACAGCACCAGATCAATTTTAAGGCTAGGAAAAAAAGTGTTTCCCGTTTCCTGACCGATCCTAGCCTTTTTTTGAGTGGACCCTGCAAGGGACATAAATGTTTCGAGTTCATCGACCTTTTCCAGCTCCATGATCTGACATCTTAGTGATGAAATATCGTACAATCATCAGGTTAAGTGTCCTCGTGCAAGTTTTACTTTGTTAATCAACTAATCCCAAAAAAAAGAAGAAAAGATAATCCCTACCTACCGACCCAAATTTTTCAGGACTGAAACAGGAAACACAGCAATTTTTTTCCTAGGCCTAACCTCCTTGACCAGATAGTGGGTGGGAGTAAATGAGAACTATTTGGTCTGGTCTATAGTTTATCTATTGTCTGTTGTAGTTGCATCATCACATTGTTTTCAATAGTTGTCTGGTGCAGGTGTCGTAAAACATATTGTCCATAGTTAAACACCTACAAACACCTACATACCTCTCAGAAACCGCGGACATGTCTTCAACTCCTGTGTCAGAAGCGTCTTACTCTACGCTTCTGAGACATGGGCTGTGACAGCAGAAGACATGAAGAGACTGGCACGGAGCGACAGGGCCATGGTAAGATGGATGTGCTCCAGGAAACTGGCAGACTGCCAGTCAACTGAGCAGCTATGTATGCGGCTTGGAGTCCATAACATTCAGGACACAGTTAGGTATAACAGACTTAGATGGTACGGCCACCTCCAGAGAATGGACAGGGACAAATGGCCGATTAGGTCATCCTTACACTGGATGTGGAGGGTCCAAACCCCCGTGGCCGCCCTAGAAGGAAATGGTACAACAACATACAGGAGGACCTCTACCACCTGAACTTGGATAAAATCAACCCACAGGACAGAGACAAGTGGCGTGCTGCCATCAAGCCCCAGATGTATTGTGCAAGCACGTCTAACCCTCAGAAGACGGGGATCAACAGACGATAAACCGGACAGTGAGTGAGTGAGTTGGGGAGAGTTGACTTTTATGCTCTTTGTTGTAGATTATGTAGTTACATGTATCTTTGTTTATTTCAGGTAGAGGAGAGTTGTGAGAGGTACCTGAGAAAAGTTGCCCATGCTCCAGCGCCCCCTGTCAGTTTAACCCTGTACTACGAGTCCCTGTGTGGAGGCTGTCAGAAGTTCATCAATGACCAGCTGTGGCCAACATGGAGCAAACTTTCCCCCATCATGAACCTGACTCTGGTGCCATATGGGAATGCTGCTGTATGTATTTGACATTTTCCCTTGACCAAGTAATAATCATTATTACTTTCACAACAAGACTGGCAATGAAAACATACATTGCCATGGCGACGGTGGTTGCTGTTAGGGTTATTGTTTGCATGGCACTGCCATCATTTCATGATTTTGAGGAAGACTTGGTACTTGGACTTTGGACTTTGTTTAAGTCTAGACAGATACAGTACACTCCCCCCCTGAGTGCATAGTGAATGAGCCCCGGGGTCACAGAAAGTAGGGCCATCTGGGGCAGACAGGTCTTCAGGGTCCCAGGAATGTGGGCATGGATGTGGGTCAGAGAAAGGCCAGTGGACATTCCGCATGCCTGTGGACAAAATGCCTGTACAATTCCTAGAATTCTTGCGAATTGCACACAATACTGTACCATTAGGCTCCTCCCTGAGACGTCGCCAAAAATTATTGCTTGCTCAAGGGGTATTGAGAAATACATTTTTACTGACACTAGTGACAGATGTGATATTTTCATCATCAATCCTTCAATAAATGATAAAATAAAGTAAAATCTAAATATCATAATAATACAAATTTTTTGTCTTTCTGTTTTTCAGGAGAAGAAACGTTTTGGTAAATGGGTGTACGAGTGTCAACATGGAAAACAGGAGTGTGTTGGAAACCTGATTGAGGTTAGCAAACTTTGTAGGCATTGAAAATACCAATTTCGTTTTAGTAACAAGTTTTTTCACACAGCAGTTTCTAAGATCAAATGCGTTCTTTATATGTAATGACTAGAGCTGTGTACCGGTACGCAGTACCGATACTGTACCGGTAAAATTGATTAGGTACAGGTCCAAAATACCTAATCCCTCAGTACCGGTACTGTACCTAAACAATTTCACACCAATTTTATGCCTATTTGTGACCTCAAATGTGTAAATAGCTGGTTAACAATGGGTCCCTGTGTAAGGACAGTGTGTTCATGAAAACAAAAACATATATATAGCCTATATTTTATCTGAGCATTCGCCATAAACAAAGAATAAACCTTAACTATCAAGTTTATTTATGTTTTTTTTTTTGTTATTGAAGGAGATCAGAAGAGCATATAAATTGGTCGAATTGTTCAGGTACAGGTTCAGGTCCGGACCTGTACCTAAACCTGTGTACCTGTACCTGTACCTGTACCTAAAATTTGTTTAGGTACACAGCTCTAGTAATGACCCATTTATTTTCTTTCCCAGACCTGCACCCTGTATGTTTTGAAGAACATAACTGCAGCCTTTCCCTTCATCCACTGTATCGAGTCTAGAGTAGAACATTCTGACAACCCAAAAAAGGCAGCTGAGAAGGTGAGACCAATATGATGATGTTCTCTGGTATTCAAAGTAGTGCTGTAAATATCAAAATATTTGCTGTATTTTATGTTTTTGTGGTAATTGCACCATCACAAAATTATCATACTACAAACAGTGGTGCCAGTGACCATATGATGAAAGCTACTAACATGTTGCCCCTTTTTTTGTCGCTACCACCACCAACAAAAAAAGGGCCATATATAAAAAGCAAACGATCTTCCACCATCAACCTCTGCTTGGAGAGTGACATACAGCTTTACATCAGCACATTTTAATCAGTATTTCATACTTTAGGTATCTAAAACTGCAGAAACAAGCCCAGGGTCCTTCCAGTAACCATTTTCCTTCAGAATTTTGGGTATTTTTGCTCCTTGAGGGTCAATGTACATTGGGATAGTGTGGTTTCAACTCAGTATGTAGATAAGTGACTAGAATATTCACTTTGAAAAATTGGGTTTCCAAGCCCTAAAAACTGCATTGGATACCTTTAAGTGTATGCAGAAAGTTAGAGCTGACTTCTGACCTCACCCTATGATCAGACTGGACTATAGATATGGATACTATATTGCCTAGTCTGTGCACTTTGCATATTTCAGTACTGGAATATAATTGTTATATGTATTTTTAGTAATACATGTATATGCTTTGCATGGACCCACTGTAAAGCAGTGCTATGACACTGAGAGGGGCCAACCTGGGTAAATAGAACACAAATAAACAAACAAACATTTGTTCTGCCTTCCATTTAAATGTGTGTCTTTTCTGTACACAGTGTGCCTCCATGATGCAGGTTGACTTCAGCGCTATAGAGAAGTGTGCAGAGGGTTCTCAGGGGAACGAGCTGGAACACGAGATGGCGCTGAAGACGGGAAGTCTGAACCCACCTCACACCTACGTACCATGGGTCACACTTAATGGGGTTAGTCTCGTTAACACTTATTAAATATACATGTGTTAAAAAAAGAAAGATGTAATCATGATTCTAATTTGGGGTGCACAGCTTCATCAGTGGGGGTCACTGGAAGACAGACGTAGAATGTCCAGACTGTGCATGATGTACAAAATGATTATTAAACTGGTGGATGTACCAACCACTAAGTATCTGATACCAGCCCAGAAAAGAACGAGAAACAGTCATGACTTCAAATATCAGAGTTATCAACCAAGAATTGAGGTGTTCAAAAATTCTTCAGAACTATTGTAGAGTGGAATTCGTTGCCAACAAGCACAGTAGGGGCATCATCATTAGAAAGTTTTAAACAACTCCTGCAATTAAATGTGCAAAGATTGAGTGTAACAAGTCGTTCGGTGTGATATAGCTAGCTGCCGCCGTGCCGCGTGCCTGAGAAGCTGGTGTGTTACGCCGAAGGGCGGTTATACCGGCTATACTAATACAGATACAGATACAGATCAGGTTAGTGGGTCGTAGAAAAATGATGAAATGGTTTCAAAAGAGCCACAGTCAAAGAAAGTACCAAGGAGGCTAATTCAGAAGCAACCTATAACCTTGCCTAAACTGGAATTACTGAAACATAAATTTCTTCTAGGTTGTATCACAAGGTCTAAATTTTCCTTCAACAATAATGTTTAATAATTTCAAGTCTAATACAGACCTGAATATATAGACTGAACACCTTGTTTTGAAATTGATGTTGACAAAATATCGTGTTCAATTTTTTTCTTTAAAGGTTCACACAGAAAAGATCCAGAATGAAGCAATGGATGATCTACTAAAGCTGATCTGTGACACTTACCAGGTAAACTTTGAGTAATATATTTATATGTAATTATAGATTATAGATAAATAAACCTTCTGTGAAATTTGATATTTTACATTTTTTTCCTTTGTGAAAACTGATGCTTATAGAATGCTTGGGTAGCTTTCATTCCAGGTTGGAAGTTCAAACCATGGCCAGGTCATACCAAAGACTTTTAGAAGAAAATTCAAATAATATATATATGTAGTCAGTATATTTCTCAAACAGCCCCATTGTATCCCCCATACTATATATTTAATTTGTATTTTGTTTGTATTTCTCTTGAAGGGTCCCAAGCCTGATGCCTGTCCCTCCTCCACAGCTACAGTGTGCATACGAGACTGACAGGACAACTCAATAGACTACTCCACATAATACATCTTTCATACACTTTTTTAAACTTATACTACATGATCATGAAAGTTCATCTGTGTTGGTAGTTACATGTTTAAAGTTAAAAATTTTGATCCAATACAACAAAGTCCTCTCACCTAGAGCTTTCGACCAGTCACTCTGGTCTTCCTCAGTAGACTGACCCAGTGGAGCTATTTACATCAGGGCCCGACATCGTCTAACAGATACATTTGAACAAGTGTTAACGTCACACTTCAAAGAAGCCACGTGACAAGCCTCACTGGGTCAGTCTACTGACGAAGACCAGAGTGACTGGTCGAAAGCCTTAGGTGAGAGAACTTTGTTGTGTTGGATCAACTTTAAGTTTTAACAGACTGAAAACACGTTTTAAACATCTTTTATATCAATGGGACCTGAAATTGGCATATCAGATTTTTAGTATGCAATTACATGGCGATTTATCAACAAACTCAATAAAATGTACGTTGTTTAGGTAGCAAATTTTTCGACAAAAATTGTTCCCCTTGTGCTTTTAAATTTTGTCTTTGCAACAATTATGATTTTAGTTGAACTTTGATATTAAAAGCTTTACCATAACATTTTGTATAAACATCTTTTGATAAGATTGAGATACTTTTTTAACCAAACAAATATGATGGCCTATACTTTAAATTCGTTTTTGCTTAGCTTACAGTCAAGATGGTAGATCATAAAAAGGCTGGTCTCCTTGATTTTGGCTCAGGTTAGATATTCTATACACGCACACAATATGAAACACAATGGAGCTGAAAAAGGTTTATTGCATAGTTTATGACTACCTCACTTTATTACAATTTGAAGATTCTTTGATCTTGACTAACATTGTCACTAAGACCACAACAATTTAATTCTTTGGTTAACGGATTCGCCCGCTTAATTTTTTTCTGATTTGCAAAAAAAAAAATCAGAATCAACTGCAAAAAGCTCATATTTTGCCCTGAACAGTTGAAAACAGCCCTTTTCTTCCTAGTTGTTACAGTTATTCCATCATTCAATGCAATGGTATCATTAAAAGTTCAAAATTCGTTGTTTAAATTTTGAACCAGCCTGGTGTGTTGACTTCATGGCTCCTATGTCCTATCATATCATTTTGGGCCATAATAGGATGCCTAGGCCTGTTTTTATTTTTTTTTTCGCCCTCCTGCTCCATTATTTTTCTAGAAAAACCTGTTAACCAAGAAATTAAATTGGTGCGGCCTAAGTGTATGTTTTGTGTAATATGTGCCAATGTCTGACAGGAAATTCATGAATACAAAAGTAATATTTGTTGTGGTGGTACAAATACTTTGGTTCAGGGTTCAAATCTTTGTAGAAATTAGTTTATGCCCTTGAAATTATTTGGTGAGGCTCATACATGTATGTGTTGTATCAATAAATCAGTAGAGCGAATGCTGCTGGAAAAGTTATTCTTGTCTCGCTACAAGTTTTGTCACTGTCGTACTAGTGCATTGACTGCTAAAGTCGATTTATGTTTAGGCCACACCGCCTTAATGTTATGGATGACATCCACGCGCGCATTGATTTTCACCTGTTCTGGCCTGGCTCTAGGCCTGGGATCCATGGTTATTAGCGACAATATGGAGTCCGTGGTAACTCTGGAGGATGGCACCGATGGCACCAAAGCTCCTCGACTCAAGAACTCAGTACATACGTACAGTGCCGATTAATTAATTCCACAAAAAGCCAGCATGTGCCGGCTTGTCCTATACGTCGTTATGTACTGCTGCAAAATTCACAATACCAGCTTTGTATTCCTGTGGTTTAGTAGCATTTTTATTTTTGGCCGGAATTTTTTTATTATTTCCCTACAGTGAAAGGCTCAAGAGGCTTAGACTACCGTCCCTGGGGTATAGAAGAAGAAGGGGAGATATGATTCAGGTGTTCAAGTTCCTGACTGGGCAAGAAAGGGTACAATCAGACAGCTTCTTCGAGTTAGCAAAGGGAACAACAAGAGGCCACAACTTCAAGTTGAAGGTACCATTGGCGAAGTCAAGGAGTAGACAACATGTATTCAGTGTGAGGGTCATCAAAGACTGGAATTCGCTGCCGTCGACTGTAGTATCCAGTGAAACAGTCAACCAGTTCAAAACAAGATTGGATCGACACTGGGAGCATCTGAAGTACGAAGAAAGCGTCTAAGATCAGTCCACAACAGGCAGGAAGAAGCCTTACTCGATGTGTAGTCGGTATCAAGTATCAAGGTATTATGCGGCCCGCGCGCACTACTTTGTGGGTCTTCAGAGGATGCCACCCATAAAATTAAGTCAAAGTAAAACCACTTGATACTGGAGTGTGGCTGATCTGTAATAGGAACGATTGGCTAACGGAAGGCTGTAGCTGTCCACCGCTGTCCTTGGTGCTGAAATGGATGCCCCGCCGTGTCCAGAACCGTGACTATCTAGTTCTATCCGATTCTGGATAGTTTCCGCGTGTCCAAGAATACAGATTTGCACCAGGCAGGGTGCTGGATACACGTGGACTATCCAGAACGTTAACCGTGTCTGGGCATAGGTCTAGATAAAGCAAGAGATCGAGTGAACCTATATGTAATGTCCGTTTTTCCCGTTGTTTTTTTTTAGTTGAGAAATGCGCATGAACGTACGTGGACAATTTCTATTTGAGGATCATTAATTCAACCCCCCACATGCACCGAACAGCTCTTCATTGGTCTGTGTTCAAGGACTAACTGCTAGGTACATAAATGATTGGGCCACGCAGCAGCACTCCTAGCGATTGATTGACAAAGTGCAGCGGGTAAGCACTTGCGGGTAAGCACTTGCCCCAGTTTGAAAATCTGGGGGATTATCTTCAGTGTCCAGAGAGTATCTAAGACCATATGAAGTACACTTTACCACACAGACGGGCGCAAGACGTCTTCCAGGGCAATTTTTTTCCAGAGTATTCTTCATTTCCATGCACACTCGCTGCATACGCGTCCTCTTTGAAGGTCGTGTTTCACACACAAGTTGATCATGAGCAATTTTTTTGGCATTAGGCCACACCGACTTAATTTTATGGATGACATCCTGAGAAGACCCCCAAACTAGTGCGCGCGGCGAATAAAAAAATCCGGCCAAAAATAAAAATGCTACTAAACCACAGGAATACAAAGCTAGTATTGTGAATTTGCAGCAGTTCGTACGTATACGACAAGCCGGCACATGCTGGCTTTTTGCGGTATTTACGAATCGGCACTGTACGTATATACTGAGTTGCGTGGAGCTTCGGTATCCTGGGTGCCATCCTCCAGAGTTACCACCTCCGTATTGTCGGTAACTACCATGGACTACAAGTCCTAGAGCCAGGCCAAAGCGTCGGAGGACGTGATTTTTTTTAGAACAGGCGAAATGTCATCCATAAAATTAAGGCGGTGTGGCCTTAGATTGCAAAGAAACCAAGAAATATCAAAAATATTACTACATGTCCTTGCCAAGGATTTAATATAATTGTAATATAATTTCGGCATATAACAAAAGCACCAGAGTGTACGTGCCATTCTTCATCAGTACTTTGTTATTTTTAGGATTACCGACAATGCCGTGTGGTGATTAGATAAGAGTTTGGCCTCCCACCGAGTAGACCCATGTAATCCAAGGTCAAGCCTGAAGGGCATTGTTCAAGTAGACTGTGCCGTCGTCTAGGCGATTATTGCTACCGAAATTATTTCATTCACACTCAAATTTTTAGGATAGCCAACAATCTATGATCATTTTTTTTTTCTTTTTTAAGTCAATACAGCTTCAAGCCTTGCGGGGAAAAAATCTAGATTTTTGGTGTCCACCCCTACACGATCCGTTGGTATCGCCCACCTTACACACCCCGTAGCCTTGAGGTACTTCCAAAACAACACCGTTGCCCCGGGCGACCAAATCCCAAACAATTAATATGTTTACCTTTCAGAGCGCTCGCGCATTACCCAGAAAAATCTGCAGGATTAGAGGAGAAGTTTTTGTTTGTAAATGACGTGGTTGTACGTGGGATAACGAGCGCGAGAAGGTGTCTAATTGTGTCCAGTGAAACACTCCGGAACACGGAAATCTTGTTTGTACACTTACTTAGTTTCATTAAGGACAAAAAGAAGCACAGATGTCATGTGTGAACGGGAACATTCTCCCACCGGGTGGCTTTAAGGCTTGTGAGAGATTTGGCAAAGCCAAAGATTTTAAAACCTGCACGATGTTCTCTGCGTGTTATGTTACACTGGCAAACTTTTATTCTCAAGCGCCACGACAGCTGGTTTTAAAAAAAAATCAGTCCTGGCTTACAGTTTTTACGAGTAACTGTAAGCCAGGACTGATTTTAAAAAACTGCAAAAGATGAAGAAAGTGCTTGAACTGTCTTAAGGCATCTAGTGCAGTTTTTAGTGTTTGGAAACCCAATTTTTCAAAGCCAATATTCTAGCCATCTATCTACATGTATATTGGCCCTCATGAAGCAAACATTTCCAAAATTCTGACGGAAAATAGGTACTGGAAGGGCCCTGGGCAGATTTTTAGGGTACCACCCAGAAAATAAAGGACTCGTCTTGGGGCTTGCTTCTGCAGTTTTAAATGCCCAAAGTATGAAATGCTGACTTAAATGTGCTCATGTGAAGCAGTATGCGTCAATATCACAAGATTGCCTCATTCATAATATTTCCAGTTGAAACCGCATTGGATTCATTTAAAGATTTTTTTCTGCTCGATGGAAACATTCCCACGGACATGCTTGAAAGAATTTGTAATTTCCGCACCACCGACGCACAGCGTTTTTGTGTACCAGCATATAGGATATGTTTTGGTCCAAACAGCGCATATGCCTGAGTCACTGTTCCTTACACCGAAGATACGTAGATTTGCCTGGGGTAAGGAATGCTGCGTTGTCTAGTAGTGGTGCATACCTAAACCCACATTTAGGTTCAGGTCCGGATTCAAGTCCAGAGGTTTAGGTTCAGTTCCGGACTTGTAAGTCCAGACCTAAACCCATGGCATATACAAAATTGCATGTTGGCAACCTTGCAATGTCGTCTGGGTGAAACTT